AGATCTAGAGAAAATGATGCTGAAATTCATATGGAGAAACAGGAGATCTCGAATAACTAAAGCAATTCTATACAATAAAAATAAAGCCAGAGGCATCATAATTCCAGACTTCAAGATATACTACAAGGCAGCTGTAATCAAAACAGCTTGGTACTGGTACAAAAAACAGATGGAGAGACCAATGGAACAGAATAGAAACACCAGAAATCAATCCAAACATCTATAACCAACTCATATTCGACAAAGGAGCTAAGACCAACCTCTGGAACCGGGTCAGCCTCTTCAACAAATGGTGCTGGGAAAACTGGATGTTCACATGTTGAAGTATGAAACAAGACACCTGTCTTATACTATATACAAAAATCCACTCAACATGGATCAAAGAACTAGATATACGCTGCAACACCATGAAATTAATTGAGAGCAAAGGGGAAACCCTTCAAGACATTGGAACAGGCAAAGAATTCCTGGAAAAGACCCCAGAGGCATGGGTAGTCAAAGCCAAAATAAACAATTGGGATTACTTCAAGTTGAGAAGTTTCTTTACAGCAAAAGAAACAGTCAGGAAAGTGAAGAGGCAACCGACAAAATGGGAGAAACTATTTGCAAACTACACAAAACTGATAAAGGATTAACAACTAGAATCTATAAAATAATCAAGAAACTCCACAGCAACAAAACAAACAACCCAATAAAAAGATGGGTCAAGGACCTTAACAGACATTTTTCGAAAGAGGAAATCCAAATGGCCAGCAGACACATGAAAAAAATGCTCAGGATCCCTAGCCATCAGGGAAATGCAAATCAAAACCACAATGAGGTTTCACCTCACCCCAGTTAGAATGGCCATCATACAGAAATCAACAAACAACAAATGCTGGAGAGGATGTGGGGAAAAGGGCACCCTAGCCCACTGTTGGTGGGAATGCAAACTGGTAAAGCCACTGTGGAAAACGGTATGGAGATACCTCAAAAGCCTGAATATAGACCTGCAATATGACCCAGCCATTTCACTATTGGGAGTTTACCCAAAGGAAATGAAATCAGTAAACAAAAGAACTATCTGTACCTCCATGTTTGTTGCAGCTCCATTCACAATAGCTAAGACATGGAAGCAACCTAAATGTCTATCAACTGAAGACTGGTGGATAAATAAATTGTGGGACATGTACAATATGGAATACTACACGGCAGTAAAAAAAAATGAAATCTGGTCCTTTGCAACAAAATGGAGCAAGCTGGAAAACCTCATACTCAGTGAAATAACCCAGTCCCAAAGAGACAAACACTTTATGTTCTCCCTGATTCAGGAGAATTAACAGCAGCTAAAATGGAAGGTATAGAAGCGAAACAGTCATCTTCAGAACTAATGTCCTCAAGAACCCTTGACCTGATTGTTGAGAGACAGTTAACTATTGTTACTTTTTACTGTATATATCCCTTTGATTTGGTGTTCTCTTTTTTTTTCTTTTTTCTTTTTCCTCTGTTTTCTTTCTCTCTCTCTCTCTCATCTACCTCCCACTGTAGGCTGAACTCTCCATGTAACAGAGTTAATTATATGTATTTTAAAGCAAATGGAAAAAGATACCAGCTTAAAAAAAGGAGGGAATAAGAGATGAAGGAGGTAGTCTAAAACTGTAAAAAAAAAAAAGTATAGTTATGCATACGAGCATATAGACTCACCTCTAAGGGTACAGCTTAAGAACTAATCATGGGGCTCCAAACCCATAAGAATTGGTGGTATAAACACCATCTTCAATGTTAGAATGATCAACTTAAATGTTAAAGGCAACAGATAGACCAGCCTAAGTTTAAAAGGGACGACATAAATAACATCAAATACCCAGTAAAAATAATATAATTAAAAAAGGAAGGAGGGGCCAACATGGGAAGCAGTCCGCACAGTCGACTCCTAGAATGACTTTCGCAGTAAATAACACTCTGACCTCAGAATCAACCCTAAGGCCTCCTGGTTGGGCTGAAAGGACTGCAAGAGCATCTCAGGCATGGAAAGACAAGACTCTGCAGAAAAAAAAAAAAAAAAAAAAAACAACCCTACACGGAGGATCTCTGCAAGACCTCAGAGGTCATTAAAGAAGGAGACGCTCTTCTCTGAAGGGAGAGGAGAACATCCTCTTTGCTCATGGCTGTGTCCAAATAACGACGGAGTCTATGATCACAAAAGGCCTCCATAGCTAGCCCTGGCAGCTCACGACAAGAGCCTCGGGTAATCACTGACATCGTAATAAAATGAGTATTAATTGTTAAAGGAACAACAGTAGTCAATGCGCACTTGCTCCCCAGGTGGGACCTCTGTCCCTATTGAATCGCAATATGAGAATTGACTGTAAATTCTCTCCCCAAACTGTTCTTTATATATTCTGTGTGGGTGTGGGGGTAAATTGTTGAACTCTATGATTAGCATAGAGATGGTCCTCTATATAAAAAAGTCACACTAAAAATGATCCATAATGAAGAAGGAGATGGGAGAGGGAATGGGAACGTGGGAAGGCAGTGGGGAGCGGCGGGGGACATGAGGGAAAGAGCCACTGTATTCCTAAAGCTATATCTAATTAAAAATGCATTCATTAAATTAAAAAAGATTTATTTATTTATTTATTTGAAAGAGATAGAGAGAGGCAGAGAAAAAGGTCTTCCATCCACTGGTTCACTCCCCAGATAGCCACAATGGCCAGAGCTGCGCCATTCCAAAGGCAGGAGCCAGGAGCTTCTTCCAGGTCTCCCATATGAGTGCAGGGTCCTAAGAACTTGGGCCATCTTCTACTGCTTTCCCAGGCCATAGTGGAGAGCTGGATCAGAAGTGGAGCAGCTGGGACTAGAACCAGCACCCATATGGGATGCCGGCACTGCAGGCAGCAGCTTTACTGGCTAAGCCACAGCACCAGCCCGAATTTTATTTAAATAAAGCTATTATTTAAAAAAAAACTTCTGGGCCTTATTAAATAACTCCAGTAACATGATTTCTATGATTGAAAACATGGATATAGGATGTATATGTTGATCCAGCCTTGGATAAACTCAGTAAGTTGCAGAGTAATAAATTTCTCCATATTATTGTATCTGAGTCTCAGCAGGCATAAAACCTTTGAAAAGACAAGTTCAAGTGTTTACTGAAGGATTTAAATGTACTGTGAATGGGCTTAGAATGATCTCTATGTTACTAGACTGTCATAGTTATTCCAAAATGAAGTACTTTCATGCTATGCAATTAAGAGTACCATGAAATAGAATTTTATTAATATCCTTTTCTGTTCATTGTAAAGGCATTATTAAGTACAGCTTCCTTCAAATATAATTATTAAAATGCTAAAATATATCCAACATATTACAACCGAGTAAAGCATAGTTCCATTTAAAAGATAAATTATAAGCAATTCAATAAATTTAAAATCATTCTAATAGTGTTCTTTCATATCCAAAAGTAGATATATATTCTGAAAGTGGTAATTGTTTTATAAAACTACTTCCTTAGTATTAAGCTAGATATTTACTCAAACCAAAACAAATACTGAAGATTCTCATGCCAGCCACTTCTTTCACACATAAGAAAACTGATACCTAAAGTGGTTAAGTTTTTGCAAAAAAATCATTAAGAAATCCATAGTTGGAAACCCAGTTCCCTAGTTCCCAAGATTAGGACACTTTCACGGTACCAAAATCCCAAAAACTACCTGAAAATCTGTGAGCACGTAGAGGGATATTAAGTTTATACATCTATTGAATGTTTCTATATTTGGATATGCATTATTTGCTCATTTCTATCTCTGACGTTAATTTTCAAGCGTTGAGATTCTAGCATGCTGTAATCATGTGTATCTATACAACCATACACAGTTAACTCACTCTCAACTTATTTGAGCACATTTTTTAAAAGGATCACCAATGAGATTAAAATACAACTAGTAATAATTTAAAAACTGTTAAATACCCAATGCAAAGCTTGGGAAAACCTTCATCTACATGACCCAATGAGTTCTTCATGAGGAAACCCCACATCGTGTACACTTTGAAATCAGGGTTCTTTATAAACCTAAGCACAGAGAGCCTCCTTGTAGCATTCACCAACTATACCTCAGCTCCTGAAGGAAGCTCGTGAAATGATTGTTTTTACTGGCTCTGTGTCAGAGTTCCACGGCAATCTGCAGAGGTTAGTTAAGGATCTCTCTTCTTGTACTTTCTCGTCTCCATGGAAATCTTTCCAGAACTGCCCTGCCACAATTATTTATTTCCTTCTTAATCAAACCTCCTGCTCTCTGGAAAGTTTCTGTTTATCTATTTTTCAATAAGGTGTCAGTTACTAATAGGTTTGAGTGGAGTTGGGTAATAGTGAGTTCTTTGCATTTTAAAAGCGATGGTTCCTTTTGCTCAAAATTTCTCTAATTAACATGGAGAATGAGTGTGGTCCTTCTCTATATAGGCTACACTGTGCCCCAACCTCCTCCCAGGGCCACCAAGGACTCCTGACCTCCTACATTCCAGCAATCAGGGGTCAGCAACTGGGTGCCCCACTTGTGAAAAGCTGTTGACCTCTGGGAGGAAGCTAGTTTGGAAGCAAGTGTTAATTTTCAGAATGTGACTGGTCTTGATAGCAGCACCCTCACCCCATCTCGATGTCCCTTGGAATGTTTTCTGGTCAAGGGGCCTAGAAGTAATCTGTCATCACTGGTCAGTGGTGCAACAGCTCATTCTTGTATCTATCTTTGTGTTTCTCCCCTGGACGTGAAGCAAAACACGCCCCGCCATCCTCCTCCTTTCACATTCAAGTTCTCATGTGTTCAACATTTGTCAGGGCCTTCACCTTCAGTGACATGGTCAACACACCAAGAAATTATATCCAACATGTGGAAAGTGAACAGCAGGCCCATTTCTTCCTGCCTCATGATTTAGAATTCATTTATATTTGGTGTATGTGTTCTGTGCTTATTCCTGGAACAATAGCTACAGACACTTAAAATAATTACCCTCCAAAATCCACAAAATGGCTTAATAACACACTTTAATATAGTTTCTTAAGCATTTTTAATAAAATACAGACATATAATTATCAATGTACGTATGCCATTTAATATAATGATAAAAAGCTAGTCTTTGAATGACATGGTGATTGATATTTACAGTAAAACCCAATGGAAACAGCATTTATACAATACTGCTGAATTTTATCCCCCCAAAAATTTGTAAGAAATTCCACTCACATTGTGATGTTATCTCAAGTTACCAACAACAAAAAGGAAGATATTCTCCTAATTAGTACATACAAGTATATAGATATTCTTTCCATGTTTCCACAAGCTGAAAAGGCCTCTTTTTTCCTTAAATTTTATCAAGCATCAAGACTGGGACAAACTCATTCTCAAAACCTTTTCCCAAATCTTTGTCAAGCTATTAGTATCACATACAAATGTCTTAAATGGATCTACCTATTGCAGATATTTTATGTCCCTTCATGCTATTATTAAATTTAAAAATGGATACTAGTTTGATGAACCAATGCGGAACCCATAAGGCAATTTATCAGTTTCTCTAGAGTCACATCCTGTGCAAATTCTGTTCAAACAGTATATTCCCCTAAATATATCACACTCACACTATTTTAAAGTAAAGAAGGAAATCAGGAGCTAAATCATTTAAACTAAGGATTCGTTAGAACAATCCTGTTTAGCATTTTAAGGAAAGCACAGTCTTTTCACTTGTTGAGTATATGAAAGATACTGAGGTGAGGGGAAAACACATCATTTTGATTTCTCGATAGAAGGGGAATGCACCTCATCACCCCCTCTTACCCTTTTCTGTTTAACTTGCAATGTGCTATCAAAGCTACTTGTTTTGAACTCTTAAGCCACTGATACATTACTTTAGGGATTTAGAAAAAGTAACGTTTTCATTTCTGCAGTTCTCAGGTTAGGTTAATAGTTTTATAGCGCCTCTATCATAATTAGTATCTTCCTCTTTAGTCCTCCAAGAGGGCCTTTATTGTAATGGGCTTTGGCCTTCGTACTACAACCCCAAAAAGACAGATTGCTGAAGATAACCCCCTTAAATTCCTTACTGGGTTATTTAACACCATAAAGGCCCTGAACCTATCTGGGGAAAGACTCAGTCAGGGAACAAGGTTCAGGAGGGAGATCTCAATCTGCAAGAGTTAGGAGACATAAGTAGCATAAATGCTTTTTCCTTACATATAGAGTGTAGATCAGGAAGCTCAAAGCTAGCTGAAGAAGTACCCTAAATTAAAAAACAAACTATACATAAATCAAGGGATGGTTAACAGTATTATTCCTCTAGATTTAAAAAGAGATATTTCTCTTTGGAATCATAGAATTTGAGGTGGATTTATTTTCTTATTGCCATATCATTCATATCACATTTTCCTTCCCTGGTGAAAACCAGATTTAAAAAATGTTTATAGAACATTTTTAATGGTCTATTTGATAAAGTAAATAAACTGGCAAAAAAATTCAAAACACTGGAAATTCATTCTCTGCGGATGAGTAAGTACCACTTATATGCTCAATGGAAAGTGAAAAAATTCACAAGCCTCTCCTCCACCTTCCTTAAGAAAATAGCAATTATTATGGGTTATGAGTTTTTACAGACCCAAGGTCATATAATATCTGTGGTAAATAAAAACAAGCAGGAATGCAAAAGCTAATCCTTCATGATTACAAATGCCTCAGAACTAAGACTAAGACTCCAACTGGATTTTGTACTTTTGGTTTTCACACTGTGTCCAAGAATAACATAAATCACAAAATTCGATATGCTGGTTACTGCTGGTTATCAACACTCAAGTATGGAACTGTTTAGAACATTTTTCTGACAAATTAAGTTATAAGTCTTCATCTGGTTAGTATCATCGCCAAGTTTTGAAATGAGTCAGAGAATGATGGTTAAAAATACTGCATGAATGCCAATACACTGTGCCCCCGGATGAATGAGGATGAACAAGGAGAAATAATAGAGGCTGCGATACTCCACATGCCATGTATATACAGTCTACATACATACCAAAGATAATTACAATCTCACCATGAGAAAGTAAAAAATCTCAGTGAGCCTTCATTTTCTATTATATGTACATTTTACAAGCTACAGATAGCTTTCTTTCCACCTTGCTTTAAAAAAAGAAGGAAGAAAATACATTAGACAGATTCAAATGTATTTTAACTTAGAGGTTGCATCAGACCATATGTGCAGACACTTGAGATGATGACAGAGTTAAGCTTCCTAGGGTCCTGGAGTCAAAGAAACTCTGCTGACCCCCACTGCTAAGCAGGTGCACTCCTTCCACAGGGGGCAACATCTGCCGATCAGTCATGGTCCCACTCGGTGAGGATCCCAAGAAACTTCCTTGGGAAGAAACAATTTTCTCAGGGCTGGCAGCCAGTTTAGGGGATGTGGAGAAGTTATATCCATACAAAGCACAGGGACTGTGCAACCTGAAAGTGTTATAGGAGCCCTGATGGGTCTGGTTAGTAGCAAAGGCGTTGGTGGAGGGTGAAGGCATGATATACTGGAGCTGAGGTGACATCCCCGAAATCTGCATGGACAAGCTGGTCTGTGGGCAGCTGAAGGTGTCGCCATCAGTGCCACCCATGGACATGTTCACGGAGGTGCTGCTGCTCACGCCCACATAGGAAGGAGTCCTTGGTGGGGCGAAGGTCTCGCCGGACTGGTTTGTGAGCCTGTTGTAGGTCTCCGCCAAGGATGTGCTGTATCGGTTGAGGGCAAGGCCTGAGCGGGCGCAGGTGGAATAGTCAGCCGGAGCCAGACTACACAGTTGGCTGGTGTTAGGCCCCAGATGAAAGGCAGGAGAGGAGCAAGAGGAGCCAGACAAAAGGTGAGGGTGGGTGGCAGGGACAGCATTCCCAGAACTCTGGAGTAAGGTGGAAGAGCTTGCATTGCCTAGAAAAGAAGTTGAAATATAAAGAACGACTCCACAGCCATCTTTTCCTTTTAATGCTGAAAATATGATAAGACACAGCTTGTTACAAGGTGGGGGTGGGGAGAGGGCTACAAAGATGAAAAGAAAATGGTATTGGTTTCAAGAAACTTACAATTTAATTGAGTTCAGATTGAAATAATTTAAACACAGGTCCTCACAATATTTTAGGACATATTCTCTCTATATATATTTTTTTACAGAATAGGAGACTACCACATAGGATTTTTCCATTTTTTCCCTCAATTAGGTTTCTCAAAATTATCTTATTTGCTGTAATAAATATTACAAATACTAAATAGGCCAGCAACTTTAAAATATGTTTCATCTCCTTCTGTATCTTGTTTCAAAAGTATAACCAACTCTTCTACCCAGCTTTTACCCTTTCTTTCAGCAAAATTTACTCTGGATCAAAATTTTTTCTTGCAAAGAAAAGAAAGCACCTGAAAGGAAAGAGCTAAACTGGTCCAAGGCATGCACTGCCTCAAACATATCTGTGGCTCCTAACTGAATGCTTGTGTGTATCAATGTGACTCCATCATACAGGTTTTAGCAATGCAATAGGGCAATAGCCTACTGTTTCAAAAATCAAATTTCCAACCGGAAAACATGTTGGTGAATCATGTACTAACACAAGAACAGAGGTCCAGCAAATAAACAGACCCGTGAAACTTAAGAGAGGGTAGCTGACCCTGCGTCCAATCAATAACACTGATGGTGGCTGACTCCCCACTCTGGATTCCCTGGCAGATTGATGTTTGCAAATCTGACAGAACTTAGGAGAGAAGGGAATTCCAAAGAGGTGAATAGGTTGTAAAACCTTCATTGCTGCAGCAATGGTGTTTTATATAGCTTCTCAAAATAATCTACATGCCCAATCTAACCAATGATAATTATCTAAAACCAACATGTGAAATTCTCACTGGAAGCTGAGCAGGATCTTGGTAAAAAGCCTGACTACAGGAGTGAGCTGAGAGTCCTACCTACTGAGTAGACATGAGAGAAGGAGCCATCCCTTTCTGTGCAGCTCCCGCTAAGAGAACATTAGCTCTGAGGCTGTGGGAACTATTCAGAGATGAGCCCAGGGAGGATACCATACAGAAAACAGATGAATTCTATAGTAGGGTGATGGTGATGAGGTTGCCATTACAGGAATAAATAATAACTTCTGCAGTTTTTAGCACTTGGCATCTGGGCAGGAACTAGCTCCATGTACATTCAGCAGACTCTGTGAATTACCTTGCTTGGGAATTCCAGGGATATCTTCAAAGGTGAGAGTCCGTAATGAAGGTCTCCAGAATGCGTATGACTCCACCAGGGCTTCCAAACCCATTCTAAATGGAAGGGTCAGGATGGGGGTGGACAAATGAAATTTAGTTAAGAACAGTTGGAGCTTTCACCAGTACAGGCATTTCAGAAAACAACAGCCATATTGTCAGGATGCCCCACACTAGCAAGCTAGGAGCTTGCTACAAGCAGAAAGAAATGCTTTGGAGATGGGTTACCATTCGGTCACCAGGAGCACAAGAAAACAAACTACCCAAGACACCTGTCAATAGTCTCAGAAAATTAATCCGACATGGGGATGAAGAGCTGTCCCCCTGGCCTAAGGACTGAGGTGGAGAGAGTCTATCCAGGCTGCTGTGAGTCCCAGGCTCTGCTGTGATCTGGAATGTTCCCTCTCTCCAGCCACATAAATTCTCCCTCTAGTGAGGAAGCTGTAGTCACCGAAGGATGACTTGCAAAACCACCTATCTTCTAAGGAACACTGGTTCCTTTCCCATCATTTGGTGGCTGGGCAGACAGCTCAGGAGATCAACCATCCAAAGAAACCTGACCTCTCTCAGGGACACAATGTCCACTACCACCCAGTGCAGCAGGCTGAACTCTGCTTAAAACAGCAAGAAGGGCCAGGAGAGGGCAGCACCTGTCTCTCCCGCCAGTGTGTAGGGCTATCTGGTATATGAAATCAGTATAAGAGGTCTCTAAGAAGTCCATGGAAAATGCACAATATGGAAACACTATGTATTTCAAAAAAATTATGTGTCAAAGCAAAAAACATATTTTAATTCCATTTCCACAAACTATTTGAACTACCATTGCCGTTCAAACATGTTATAACATGTTGTCATGGGGCTGGCGCTGTGGCGTAGCAGGTAAAGCTGCTGCCTGCAGTGCCAGCATCCCATATGGGTGCTGATTCGAGTCCCAGGTGCTCCACTTACAAACCAGCTCTCTGCTATGGCCTGGGAAAGCAGTAGAAGATTGTGCAAGTCCTTGGGCCCCTGCACCTGTGTGAGGGACCTGGAAGAAGCTCCTGGCTCCTGATCAATGCAACTCCAACCATTGCAGCCAATTGGGGAGTGGACCAGCAGATGGAAGACCTCTCTCTTTTTCTCTCTCTCTCTCTGCCTCTGCCTCTCCTTCTCTCTGTGTAACTCTTTCAAGTAAATAAATAAATTTTTATTTAAAAATGTTATCTTAAAGCCCAGACACACACTTAATAGATTACAAGACAAACTGGGTATGGGCTACATGCTATACATGTATTTTAAAATAGGGGCAACTACTCTAAACACGTATCTGAGTCCCTTCCTATCACAGTGATTCAGAGTTTCTCTTTTTTATATCAGGTACCTAATTCTTCTGGGTTCTGAGACTGAAACCTCTCACTCAACTAGCTCATGTTCGAGACAGTCACACCTGAGACCTCACCACTTGTCCATAAGCAATTTGTTAGTCTAGGTGACACTGCTCTTTTCATTTAACTTACACCACTTCCTGAGGCATTAAGTGCTATTCAGACATCTCTTGTGACTGTCAGAGAGCCTTAGTATCTTATTGTAGGTGCTACGTCATCTAGGTTAAAACTATAAACCAAGATGAGAGTAACCATACCAAAATACCACATCACTTACATATTATAGTGAAAGCTCTCCAGACCCCAGAGGAACAGATTTGTACTGATGAAATTATCACACACTACTCGCCCTTCTGTTCTCAGGTTTTACCTACAGAATTTGCTTCCTTTGAGTGTGCAGGGTACATCTCTGTTAATTTATGGATTTCTGTCTTCAGTCAATGAAGAGCATGACAGGAGAAGGCTGTGCATGTGTGAGGAGTAGTATGTGCCTGCACAAGCTTGCATACACGAACACATCTCGTTATGAGACCATACATGCATGTGACTCACCTCTTAAGTCATAGACTCAGAGGTGCCACCATGGGAGGGCTTCAGAGAGAGGTTCCCAACCCCCCGAGGAGCTAGAGTTGGATATCAAAGTGTGGGCAGGGCACAGAGGAACCTGCACCTGCTTTACCTGAGCCACCTAAGAGGGAGAACAGAATCTGGCCCCTGATATAAATGATGTGCCACACAGAAGATTATTTAGTGTAAAGGACAATAGATTCAGCTCAGGAGAACTGGACTGTTGATTGCAACATACTAAATCTCATTGTGTGACCTTAAATCAATGTCTTCACTGCCTGCATTTCAGTTTCCCATAGAGTGACAGTTAGACTGCAAAAGCTCTGAGACCCCTTCCAGCTCTGAAATTGTTTCATTCTGAATGTTTCCAAATCAGACATCTTATGGCCATTATAAGTGGTCAAACTACAATCAAAATCCAAGATCATGCCAATCAATAATATACTTTGTACATTAAAAATACAGATTTCTAGGGAGTGAGGAAGGCTTGGTTAGCCTCAAAATGCCATGTTGCCTGCTGTACAAGACAATTTCAGTGTTTTGTGGGTTTTTTTGCAGCAAAATACACTATCTTTTAATTTCATTGTCTCAGGAGCATTTTGAAGTATCCTTGTATTTAATTCTGAAATTATGAATGGTGAGTGCTGTTTAGCTGGTTACCCTACATTTGAATACAAAATTTTCACTACTTCCTAGCATCAAGATGTTTCAAAATGCAAAAGACTCAGGAAACATTTTTATTTTTAAAAACTGCTTTTTTTTACTACCACATAGGTGAGTTTTGATGTCGGTAATTTTAAATATTAAAGACATCAAAGTGGATACTAAGATAATTATGAAGTATCCACTAGACTTTGAAATTTGTTAACCATAGGGATATGCACTGCTGCATAATATTTGCTTTACAATGCAAACTTTATTATGCTTCAAATGTAAATTTGTAAGCCAAATTCTGGGCAGAAGTTATTGATGCTCACAAATACATAATCTAAGCTTTAAAGAGATGCTCCAAAGGTGGTATTTCTACAAGCGATCTGATTCTAAACTACTGATATTTTTCCAGAGGCTGCTAATTCACACTGCAAGTTCCAGAAAGGATTTCAGATATTTTGCAGGAAACAGTTATAAAATATTTATTAGCTGAATCTGGACTTTTGTTAAAAAGCCTTCATTTTCTCCAGTAATGGAGACTTTTCCCGTCTAGTCAAAGAAAAGATAAAAGGCACCTCCTGCAGGAGTGTAGCCAAGGCGATAATTTATACAAGATGCCTTTGAACAATTTCCACATTTTATCACCACCTTAATTTATGCTATCAAATGGCCAAGTTTATTTAGTAAAATGGTTATGTTTTTCCTGAAGTATTTAAAGAGAAGAAATTTTTGTACCTTCCTGAGTAAAAACTTTTATAGGGTCAAACTTAAGGCCTAACTGAAGAATGAAACTATTCTCAGCACATAAATTCTCTCTCACATAGCAAATGTCTTGCAGGAGAGCTTTCAAGGGCCGAAGCTACTGATTCCTATAAAATAGGCTGTGGAGCTGTAAATAGCCAGGGAAGGATAATTTTTAATTAAAGCAAATCATTTTATAAAGTTTAAACAATCACACAAATCCATGTTTACTTCTTGTCCTACATAATTTGTTTATTTCATTTATGGAGAAAAATAAAAATAAAATTTGTTTTTAAAAAGAGTAACAACAGCACAGCAGAACAAGGAGTATTAAATGAATACACTGAACCTTTCTCGTGGGTTTTATTCCCTACTACTGTACACAAAAAAATTACAATTTCCTCCATGTTCCCAAAAGCACTGTACCATCCACCACATCTTACATATAATTAGGGCTATTTTTAAGAGAAAATAACACAGAGATCACAAATTAAAACGGACTAAATTCCCTCTTCTCTGTGTTTATCATTGGAAAATATTAAAATCAGATTTTTAAAAATGGGAAATGTTAGCTGACAGATACTTAGCATTCCAAAGTGAGCAATGAAGAACCCATCTGTGATAAGCAAGAAAAATAATTTCAGTGAGAAAAAAAAAGTAGAAACTTTATTTCACCAGCCAGAAAACTACATAGAGGCCCAACGTGCTTAGTACGTATCTGTACTAAGATATTATTTAAACACTTGGAACAAAATTTAAAAATTAAATATTAACAAAATTTATTACATGTTTAAATATAATTCATTATTTACCACATCTCTATTAAAAACATTAGCACTATTAGAACCAGGAAAGAAACAGTAGCAAACACTACAGATGCCATGCCTATATATCCTTGAAACAGGCAAAAGGTAGGTAAAACCCAAATCAAACCTAGCATCTTGATCTTACCATACTGAACAGGCTTAGTAGTTTATTTTCACCATTGCCACTGATTGTTTTTCCACTCATCAAATTTAAATAACCAAATGTCCTTTTATTGTACTCACATATCCAGAATTCATCCTAAAAACTTGATATATGCATCTATCATCCCATTTCCACTTGTAGAAGGCTCACTCACTATTACTATCTATCTAAAATATGCTTTAAAAGTTTAATTTATTGCTTACTAAAGGAACTGGGAAGGCACAAGCAGCATGACCTCTGGTGCCATCAACAGTGAGGTCTTTGCAAGAGCAGATAGCTTGGACATCATTTCTGGTGCACCCTCTCCACATCTGTCTTACTCTCCTGAAATTTTTGTGAGTTTTAATAAATTCCTTCTCTCTTCAAAAAAAAATGAACTAAAAGCACAGAAGATTCTTAAATGGATAAAGACTATTCTGCTATAGCCAAAATAATAAAAAAGAAAAAAAATCACCAAAGCATTTGTCAAGGCAGAAACGGAATCAACCTGAAGGTTCCCTTTAGCAATCTGCACTAAGTGACCATTTCAAGTTACAAAATTATGGTTCAGCTTGCATTTAATTTTCAGAAACTCCTCTGAAAAACAAGTTAACCAGTAACTACTGTAACATTAACAAAGCTATGCAAATTTTTTTCTCTACATTGAAACAAACAGAGAAAAAGACAAAATAATTTAATACAGGAGACAACTATACTGCACTACAAGAGTCATCAAAAAGTTCATGGAAAAATACAATTAAAAGACAACAGTTTGGGGGTGCAAAAGTTTTTGAAATCCATATATACTTTTTCAATGATGCCAATTTTCCATGAACTTTTTGAAAACCCTTGTGCCAGCAAAGCTTCCCACCAAGAGAAGAATTTGAGAGGGAAACCCTTCTATTAGTCTTACTAATCAACCAGTACTAAGTTAAATGTCACTCTACTTCTTTAGCATTCTAGTCGCATTCTATTTCTTATACTCATGATGTGTAAATGATGTCACTGTGTTAAAGAAAAAAAAAAGATGACATTAAGTCTCTGCGAGCATTGAGTGTATTCTGAGAAAATGATTTTGTCATATACCCTGACCAATTAATCAGCTGAAAGAATTAAAAATTAAAAATCTGGACTATTATCTCACTGTTTTCTCCCTAAAATTTCAAATGAAATTGTGTCTAGAAGTGAAGACTGAATTTCATTTAGACACAGCCTACGTGTGTCAGCTTTAATGCCAACTTTTCAAGGAGCATTAGAATAATTTGGGGAGTAAAGTCATAAAAATTGCTCAAACACTTACAAAAAATCTTTTTAAAATTTTTAAGTCAAAACCTTATTACCCTAAAAAGGCATTTTGAGAACTTATTCTGTTATTACTTTCTATTACTTCTAACAGTTATTTTAGAAAATGTTTCACTGAACTGTATTGGAATCAATTCATATGAATAAATTAAAGAACTCTTGGCACACAGACTAGATGATCTGCTTTTTGATAAAAGTAATGGAGTGGAATTCATTTTTGTAGCTCTCCTACTTAGTACAAACACAGTAAAACACAACACAGAAAAAATAAACAAGTGTGTGGTTGTCAGCAGAGCCAAGACAAATTTGGAAACTAAAGAACATCAGCTCTCTTGGCAATAGGTAGTGTTTCATATTCCAGTTGGACATCTGAATTAACAAGAGACCCCATGATACTCCCCAGACAGAATCAATAGACAGTTGTGTCATCACTATGGAAATACTAGACCAATACTAAAGGCAGTTGGGATACTGAGGCCCCTGGGCCTGTAACTGCAGGCTTCTTCAAGGCTCCTTCAGAAACAACACACAAAGTACACCCTAAGAGTTTCCATCTTCACCCCCACATCATGCATGAAAATTCATGTTAGGGCAGGCTACACCACTACATCCAAAAATAAATAACCTCCAAGGTACAACTATATGAGCAAAAATCAGAAATGATTTCAACACCATATCAGTGAATTGAACTGTTTACTTGGTAATAGAAAATTCATAATAAATATCAAATATGTTTCTCATATTTGGAATGTTCTTCATTGACACATACCTGTTACGCCCAGAGTCTCGGAAGCCTTTGGCAAATGGGTTTCTATCTATCTTCAGCCGAGTAATCTGTAGAATAGAAAAAAAAAATCATATCAAATCTCACATACACATCAAGTAAAGGTTATTGAAAGCAGAAATGATTGCAGAACTGCGTATGATTCAAAAATTAATTGTTGATGGAGTCTACTGTTTCTCTATTCTGAGTATTTAATATTTTATCAGTAAAGCTAAAGAAAATTTCAGAAATCATCCAGAATATTCAACTATTATGAGGAAGACACTTCACTCCTTTTTAATCTCCACCGGGAAAAGAATGTTTTGCTTTTACTTTCCTGATAAAGAAGACTGAACGGTCTGTGAATTACTTACTGTATGTTTGACAACCAGAGAATTCTCAATGAATTCTGTGATATGGTTTAGATCTGTTTCCCTTGCAGGGGAACACCTAATTCCCAACTCGTACTTAACAGCTACTTACATGTTTGAATGTTAAGACTCTGTGCTGCCTTCTCTTCCTCAGAATTAGGTAATACACACACTCCATTATTTTTCTGCCTCTCTGTTTTCACATCTCCTCTAATCTTCTTTGTGACTATCATCTCAAAGTTTTTTTCTTTCATTTTTTATCTGTGGAGTCTGAACCTGGTCAGAGTGCTACAGAGAATGAGTAACCAGAGTTAACTAATACATGAAGGTCCTTCTGGCACTGAATATCATACATGCAGAAGAAATAAGTATGTTTTAACGTTAACTAGAGCTCCAATTTGCTGACTCATAACCAGCTTCTTGCCCACTAAGATGCCAAGATATTGAGGGGAATAATTTTAGAAATGGCCTAATCATCTCTATTAAGTTTTTTTAGTTATGCCATCCTGAACTTGATTCTAATAAATAATAATCCCATCTGTTTCTTACCAAATCCCTGCTTTGTCAGAGAAATTAACAGCCTGTTTTCTAAGAGGCACATTGTGTTTTGTTTCCCAAATACCGTGGCTTAATGAAATCTGTAAAGTTAATGAACAAACTTCTGACTGCAGCACTTAGTCTGAAATCTGCTGGCCAACATTAGGGCATGGAAAGGCCTCTTTGTAAAGTGATCTGCCGTCCCTAATACAGTTTACACATATTCTCAGTCATTCACCCACACTGGATGCTGGTGTTGCAGGCAGCAGCTTTACCTACTGTGCCACAATGTTGGCCCCAGTAGTCAGAAAATTTAAAAGTGAGTATGATTGGATTTTGTAAAATTCCCTTCTAATTTTCCATCCTCTTAATCAACCTGTCAGTGTTTGCTAGTCACCAACACATGCCAAAACCCCATTGCACAGCACTTACTGTATCACAGAGGGTGGGAAAAAATATATACACAGATGGGTCTGGCACTGTGGCATAGCAGGTAAAGCACCAACTTGAGTCCCAGCTGCAGCACTTCTGATCCAGCTCCCTGTTAACGCACCTGGGGAAGCAGCAGATGATGGCCCAAGTACCTGGGCTCCTGCTCCCACGTGAGAGACCAGAGAGAAGCTCCTTGCTTCAGATAGGCCCAGCTCCGGCCATTAGGGCCATCTGAAGAAAGAACCAGTGGATGGAAGCTCTCTCTTTTATGTCTCTCACCCTCTCTCTGTAACTCTGACTTCCAAATTAATAATTAAAAAAATACATACATAACACACAACACAATTAACTTGTGTGTACACAAGATATAGAAAAGATGAACTCAGGCAATTAAAAAGCATATTAAATATCTCTATTTTCTCTTTGTGAATTAATTTTTTTCCCAAGAAATCATCTCTACCTAATATATTTCTTTTTTTTTTTTTTTGACAGGCAGAGTTAGACAGTGAGAGAGCAAGACAGAGACAGAGAGAAAGGTTTTCCTTTCCGTTTCTACCTAATATATTTCAAGGGTATCTTCCTAGAGCCTAGGAAGACTAGAAGGGTTAAAGGAGTTTGGATTTTAAAAAATAGGGAAAGCTAGGTGTGGTTCATTTTAGTGACAAATATACTAATATGGGATTTTAATAATGGGGGAAATTTCATTTATGTTTTATAAATTTTTGAATATTCTGAAATAAAATATATTTTAAAAGAGTATCTTCCAAATTCTAAAGTTACCCTTTATGTTCCTTCCTAAAAGCCTGTATCACAGAGTGGCAATGTATGAGAGAACAGCTCAGCCCTGGTGAGAACGGGCATCTTCACTCCAGGGAGGGCAGCTGAGCCTCTGAGTCCTAAGGGAGGACACACTGGACAGGATCCAAAGCTCCTGAGCAGTTTTACAACAGAAAGCACAGTGAAGATTATAAAGCCTTACATTTTTAACCGAGATTTATAAGAATGCAAAAGAGGTAGAGAGGCCTAAAACAACTCTGCTGATCACTGGGAATTTTTTAAATCTACCACAGACCACATTATCCTCCATTACATAGCTGCATCTTATGGAAACTTCCTGGAATTGCATATTAAATTGCATTAAACATTTGTTTCTGATCCAGTCCTCCACCTAGGTGACACATGTAAACATAGCCTTAAAGAAACATATATATATTATACATAGAGAAAAACATTTCCCTTCTTAAATTGTTTTCAACTTTATAAAAGTTGATGATCTCTCAGACTATACAATCATTGATCTCTCAGACAATAAGCATGTAAATCACCCTCTCACAATAAAAGCATTCCTTGAAAAAAATAGTACTATTTGCAAAGATGCCAAAATGATTCTACAGGATAAATTCTTCTGAAATATTTCTCATAATTCATTGGCTATAATCTTAAATTAAAATGAATTACTAAATCTCATGCTCCATGATACAATTCACTTTTTAATATGCAACACGTGTATTTCCTAGCAATAAACATGCTGATTTTTAATTATGACATCACAATTCATTATCTCAAAACAGCAAGTAAGCCTGTGCTGTCAGCGACAAGACATAATCTTGTCTAAAGAAGCACTTTTTAGGGTATCCTTACTTGGAGAATCACGGAAAAAGAATTGTTATTACTATACATGTACATATATTTATATATATATATAATATGTATATATGGGAATGTCAAAGGTTAATGTGAAAATAAACTTTTTCTTCTATAATTACATTTTGATAACACAGAAAAAGATATCTTACTACTAATAGCTGAAATGAAATGTCAAGAAAGACACCAGTTCTGACAACTCTACCTGCTGATTCTGGTAAGCAGTGACCGTTGTGAAGACAGTTTCTGGAAAGGAGAAGGCCTTCACTCCCTCCCCGGATGGGACAGGCTTGATGGGAGAAAGATCATCTCCACAGTCTTTACGGATGACATGCACTCGAGGTTGGTATTTATGCATAGAATGAAGAATAATCTACATCAAGGAAAGAAAGGCCAGATTTATCAGACTCATCTCCCCAATCGACACGACTAAATATTTAATGTGTAAAAGAAATTCCTGTGGGAAATTAATGTTTTCAAGGAGTCAGAAGTGGCAATTTAACAGGCTGCATCAGAACTGGAGAGGAAGGGCTAGGAAAGTTTTTGCAGAATGCACATAAAAATACAAATTAAAAATCACCATGTCAATGAAACCCTGGTACAACCATGTGAACTTATCAAATGTTTTGTTGTGGAAAATACAAGAATAAATTCTTAAGCATTTTGTGTATAATGGTCCAAAAGGAACAGAATCCAAACCAAAAAAAAAAAAAAAAAAAAAAAAAAAAAAAAAAACCTGAGATTGAAACAGTTATTTAAATTGTACCAACACCTATTCTCTAAAAATAATTTTTTGCACACAAGATTTTCTTCAGAGAAAATGTTTCCTCTACACATAGAGTACCTAAAATGTAATATATTGGAGTGAAATGGACAGTCTGAATTTTGATAATTGTTAACAGCTCTTGTCTCTTCTGTTGAGGAACAGTGTTTTTTTTTTTATATACTATCTGTTGAACTCTTTTACTTAGTGTAGGGTTAACTTTACGATCATTGAGTAAACTGAAAGTAGATCTTTGTAAAAACTAAGAGTGGGAAGGAATAGGAGAGGGAAGAGGAAGAAGGGTTAGTGTGTGGGCACAAGGGAAGTTTGCATAGGAAGTATCACTGTGTTCCTAAATCTGCTTATATGAAATACATGAAACTTGTATAAAAAATAAAATTTTTTAAAAGAAAATGTTCCCTCCATCTCTGACCCTAAATGTCCACTCAAGGGTAAGGGGAATATTAAGGATCTGCTTTGTGTGTACCTCACAAAGTTTCTAGTCAGGAGAGCCCAGTATGAAAGCCGCCATCGTAACAAAGCTCCCAAGACTCAAACTCCAGAGAATGGAAAAGCTGGTCCTCTCAGACTCCGGGGGAATCTGATAATATGAGTAAACTACCTCCTAGCCAGTGATTCTATTCCTGAGAATCTATCCTAACTAAACACTGCACATTCAGAAGAGCTGCTCATGTACAAAGCTGTGCGTCACATTATACATGACGGCAGGTAAACTATCAACCCCTTACATGCCCCATATGAGTAGATTTCCTGGGTAAATGAAAATCCACACAATGGAATACAATGTTACTAATGTTACTAAGAAATCTTTAAACACATAATGAAATACTTCTCTGTAAAAATTTTATTTTTAGACAAAAGCAAGAGCTCCTATCTGATGTTTCAATCCCCAAATGCCCACAACAGCAGGAGCTGGGCCAGGCCAAAGCCAGAAGCCTGGAACACAATTTAGGTCTCTAACCTGGGTGGCAGCCCAAGCACCTGAGCCATCACCTGCTATCTCCCAGGATGCACATTAGCGAAAGCAGGAACTGGGAGCAGAGCTGGGACTCAAACCAAGGAACTCCTATAAGGGGTATGGGTGACCCAAGCAGTAACTTCACCAGTGTGCCAAACACCTGCTCTTCCTTTCTAAGTGATAAATGATAAAAGAAGAAGTAAATTATTTATAAATTTACCACAACTACATAAAAATAGAGTAAAATAAAAAGACCCAAGCAAAGACATGAACAGTAATCATCTCTGGATGTTGGTATTATGGGTGAATTTTTTTCTTCTTTCTAAGTTCTATGCTTTCAAGACTGAGAGGGATAGAGTGAAGAAATAGACTCATCCAATGGGATCTCCTACCGGCTGCTGGGATTCCATATTCAGGTATTTATTAATGAGTTAATTAACAAATCTGTATCTTCCCCGAGATAAAATCTGACTTGATGTTTCTGGGTGTAATGAATTTAGAGGGAAAATAAAATTCTCAGGAAAACTCAGGGGTTAACCTGAGTGATGTTTTTTAGTCTATGAGCAGTACAATAAGCGAAATTTGGAATCTTTGGTCAGGCCAGACATCAACAGTTCTGCACCTGGAGAGTGCACCTGTTGCAACAGCAGGATGTCTTTATCCTCTGCCAGTAACAAACACTGAGGTCAGGGCTTTGTTTTTTTTTTTTGAATTTTCCCTCTCTCAATGGAACAGAGGCCAGATATACTGAGTGTGACCAGCAGACATGCTTGTTGAGGAGTAGCATGAGTATGAAAGAAGAACGAAAGGAGACAAGAGCCCACATCATCACCTAGGGACATGAACAGGGTTCTGCAGCCCCTGGAAAAGTCTCTTTCCATGTCTAACAAAAGGGCAGAGTTTCAATGACCGTTAGTAACTCATGAGATCAATTTAGAGAGTTGTAATCAGAATTTTTTTAAATAAAATCATCAAACATAGAGTATGCTGCTTGTAGTAAGAATAAGTATGGTTTTGCAAAATATTTTCCATTATCTGTGTGGATGTGTATGGACTAGATCGTAACATAAAATGTATGACTTGCTGTGAGACACTTAAAAAATTTGAAAAACACAGAAGCAACATTGAATTCCAATGATTCAAACATTTACTGTACTCTAGACAGATTTTCAGTGAGTATGAAATATTTTTATCTTCATTTCCTCAGTATATTATCTGAGCATAATGTTCACTGATCCTCAGTCTGAAAAATATGTGGGGCTGAAAAGTATCTTGAAAATATTTCAGATTAACATGAGGATTCTGCATGACATTACACTTGACACACTTAAGTCTGCACAAAACTGACACTAACACCCCGATCTATAGCTGAAGACGTTAAGGTCTACAGGAAGCGAGACGCCTCTGAATCCTCAGGGCTGGACCTGGAAGCTGGGTTCCTTGGCCATCATCCCAGCATGACGTCTGTGTGCCTGCATCACCACTGGAACAGGCCCAGCAAAGGAAACACAAAGAAGGTTCTCGGCCTGTAGAGGCATTGAGGTTAACCCCACCTGGCGCTGCATTTACCACATGACTCCGAAAAATAACCGTCCTGGTCCTTTTCTCAAATTATTCTATATTTTTACCTTAACATGCTCTTTAAATATGAACATAAAACAGCAAATGACCAATTATTTAATAAAAACTGTTAAACCCTGTTTTTCCCCTTCCTCATTTCTTAACTAACTTCCTTCTGTACAAAATTGGCATACACTTGATATACTGGGTAGCAGCAAAGTGTGAAGGAGATTTCTTCTTCTACAAACTAAGAAACAAAATGTCAATGGTAAACAAATAATAATAAACAAAACAATAGCACTTACAAACTTCCAGGGAAAATCAGCAACCTTTTAGAAACAAATTCCAAAGCAGAAAGAAAAAAGTGACTTTACATTAAACAAAAATAAGTGTACATCCCATTTCAAAGACTGGAATGAACTAAGCTGGAATATAGGAAACAAAATATTTATTTGGGTCTCTGTGTATGAGTCAATGAAAAGCAGGCTCTTGTTTCACATAGACTTCTATTAGGCAGTTTTCTCCATGTAGTTATTTTTTAAGATTTATTTACTTATTTCAAAGGCAGAGTGACAAAGAGATACTCTAACCACTGGTTCACACAACAAATGCTCACAACAGCTAAAGCCCAACCAGGGCAAGGCCAGAGCCAGGAACTCCATCTAGGTCTCCCACATGGATGGCAAGGACCCAACTACTTGGGTCATCATCTACTGCCTTTCCAGGCACATTAGTAGGAAACTGGATTGGAAGTAGAGTACCCAGGACTTGAATTAGCATTCTAATATGGGATACCTGAGTCCTACACAATGGTTTAACCTGCTGCACAATGCCAAACCCTGGTAATATACATTTTGATTTCTTTTATTTGTTTATATCCTTACTGTATTTCAAAAATGACTTCAGGTGGGGTATACTGGGGTAAGGTATAGAAATGCCTGATGTGTGCCTATATTTGTACATTAAGGAGCAACTGCCAATAGTAATCTGAAGATTAGAGAAAATATTTTAAATATCAACTATAGGAGCTCAGGGTATTCCTGAAAACTTTTTAGGCAATTCTAAACAAGTCTCAGTTCTTTATATGGTAGCATTATTTGCTTTGAAATGAACTCTCAGATTTATAACGATGAGTAGTCAATCATGTTTTGCAATAAGTAGAACTAGGAGACCCACTGGCCTTACAGACAAGAAGGCCACCACTGAAAATCACAGTTACATCTTGTGGAAATGATCTACACTCTCTATTCTGTTTAATGGAGAATTGGAGGGGGTCTATTAGCACAGAGAGTCGAAAAGATCTATGCTTTCTCATGAACAAGCTAATGTACATTTTTCTACTTAAAAGGCACTAGAAGTGAGGCAAAAGCAGCATAATATTATTTGTGTGTAATAAGATGAGTTTCAAGTGCCTGAAGTTTGACAGACAGGTGGCTATGTAGAGTCTTACAGGAAAGTTCCACAAGGAAATACTCCCTGCTGATTGGAAATTTTCCAGATGACCTAAGTTCCTCTGTTGTAATAAGACAAGACAAGGACCAAGGAGAAATAGATAGCAAAACCCTGGATCCCTGAATTTTTGGTGATACCAGGTACCAACCCGCTTTAAATGGTAGGGGTTGGGGCCCGTGCTGTGGCAAAACCGGTAAAGCTGCCGCCTGCAGCGCCAGCATCCCATGTGGGTGCCAGTTTGAGTCCCGGCTGTTCCACCTCTGATCCAGCTCTCTGCTATGGTCTGGGAAAGCAGTACAAGATGGCCCAAGTCCTTGGGCCCTTGCATCGGGGAAGAAGCTCCCAGTTCCTGGCTTCATATCAGCACAGCTCCGGCCATTGCAGCCAATTGGGGAGTGAACCAGTGGATGGAAAACTCTCTCTCCCTCTCTCTTTCTCTCCCTCCCTCCCTCCCTCCTTCTCCTTCTCTCTATGTGTAACTCTTTCAAATAAATAAAATAAATCTTTAAAATAATGGTAGGGGTTAAGGCTATAACTAGGTTCAAAGAACCAATCACAAGTTCCACAGAAGGTAGTTTTTTATTCTCATGCATGATGCTGTATAGAAAACACTCCTTACAAATATGTACTTCCAAGTGCATCAGCTCATTTGATTGACTCAGAGTTCTCTGATTTTTTTTTTTTTGGGGGGGGGGGGACAGGCAGAATTAGTGAGAGAGAGAGAGACAGAGAGAAAGGTCTTCCTTCTGTTGGTTCACACCCCAAATGGCCACTATGGCCAGCCAGCACGCTGCGCCGATCTGACCCAGGAGCCCAACCAGGACTAGAACCCAGGGTGCTGGCGCCACAAGAAGACCTCAGCATGTCGCTTCCCCATCTGATTCTTATGAAGAAAAGGGAAGAGAAGGCGGCCATCCGTATTGCTGAGTCCTCAGCAGCCGGGAGTGCAGGCTTTCCCACAGGCCCTGGGCTTGGACGCCTGGCCATGCTGCCTTCCAGAGCACTGCAGCGTCCCGTGTATGAGTCCTGCTAGGTTTAAGGTGCATCACCTCCTCTTTCAGGGAAATGACCACCAAAGTGTTTCCCTTCAAACAGCAAATTCCAGGTGAATAGGAAAGCATGCACATGGTGAGAGGGAACTCCAACCCGAGCATAGCAACCAACACCAAGCTTTGGTTCCCACAAAAGCCATCAAAAACCGAGCTACAGAGTCTCCAAGGGTCTGATAGAACTTACAAAGTCTTCACAACATTCAAAGTGTAGCTGAGGAAGGGTGAGAGATTCCCACTCTGGATTCTCACCACTAATCCTCTCTAAACAACTGTGGAATCTGGAAACTGGAAGTCACTTTGGGGAAAACGCACATCATCTCCTGTCTCCTACGGTCCTATGCCCAGTCACAGTCCTGGAAGGATTTGATCCCTGCAATCATTTTGTGCTATTAGTGAAAACCTCAGGTCTACATAGGGTTATCAAGACATTATGACACATACTTCCACATGAGAAGAGGCAAAAAAAAAAAATGAAAGCAATATTCAAATGAAATTAGGAAATCATTTCTCATTTGGGTCCCCAAATTTTTTAGTTAGAGGCTGACGTTACTTGCTTTAGAACTGCATGGTTTGGGGGGCCAGCGCTGTGGCACAGTGGGTTAGGCCTCCACCTGCAGCATCAGCATCCCAGCTACTCCACTTGCAATCTGGCTCCCTACTCGTGGCCTGGGAGGTTGGTGGAGGATGGCCCAAGTGGTTGGGCCCCTGCACCCACATGGGAGACTCAGAGGAGGCTTCTGGCTCTTGGCTTCAGATCGGCCCAGTTGTGGCCATTGCAGACATTTGGGAAGTGAACTGGCAAGATGGAGGATCTCTCTTTTTGTTTCTCCCTCTGTCTGTAACTCTGCCTCTCAAATAAATAAATAAATCTTTAAAAAAAATTGCAGGGTGGGGAGGAACCTCAAACAAGTGAGGGCAGACAGATGAGTCCCTGAGTAGTCTCTGCGTCAGGAAAGGGACAGTTGAATTACAACTTAATGGTACTCCTATCTACTTAGAACCTTAGTCACTATCATGGACAGAATTAAAACAAATTCCTAATGTAGCCTCTTTTGGGGTCATCAAGCTGAGTAAATAAATACAACTGCCGACATCTTCATGAAGCCTTCCCAGTCTCGCCCGCCTGGAATAAGGTGGCACCTGCACTCCTCTGAGCTAGCAAGATGGTAACCTGTGCACATCTTCTCCCCCACTTACGCTAGAAACTCATCAAAGGAAGAGACCATGGCTTGGCATCTTTTACCACATTTTATAAAGTCTTCAAAGATATTTTTAAATAAATAATGGGAAGAGCATTTTCTCTCTTACATCCTCCTCTCGAATCAAATGATCATATGTACATTTTTACCATTTGTAAGGTTATTTCTTACTTCTAAATTGCACAGATCTCTCTCTCTGTCTCCCCCACATTAATTATTTCCTTTTATTAAACTAGCACATCCTGCCACAACATTAAAGGGAGAATTTCACTAGTAGCCACACTTCTCTAGCATGTGCTTGTTTTCTTCTTTTTTTTAATTTCCTAATAGTGAAATACTACAATTATTTAGCTTTAAGCAACTGAACTTCAATTTATGACCTCTTCTTTCATATTTCAAACCAATACTCTGTGATAGGTAATTTTATATGTCAATTTGGCTAAGCCACAGGACCATCTGGTCATACATCACTCTAGATGGTCCTGGGAAAGCATTTTTGGATGAAATTAATACTGATTCAGTGAGCTCTGAGTAAAGCCGGTTATCCTTCATGGTGAGGGTAGGCCTCATTCAATCAGCTGAAGGCTTTACGAGAAAAGAGACTCAGGACCCCAGAAGAAGAGAGAATTCTGAGGGCAGACCACCTCCAGATTTGAGCGGTAATATCAGCTCTTCCCTGGGGCTCTGGCTTTCCAGCCTGCCCTACTGATTTCAGACTTGCCAGTCTCCACAATCTCATGAAGCTGTGACTTAAAACATAGACACACACAGCCTGCGACCTGGGGAATGCTCTTTCAAGTAAAGACTTCTGAAACTACAAAGCTGAAATACTTAGATCAACTTACTAGATGGACAAATTACTAGATCTAGATCCAATATTAGGTGTGCTAGTTATTAAACACAAGTATAAAGCCAGTCATTTGAACTCAATAATTAAAATCATAAAGTGACTGTATTATTTGTCATTTAATTTGAGGTTTATGAATAACAATACAGTTTCTAAACCCAATTATCTCTTCAAAAGATATATTCTGAAACTGTAGAACTCAGTAAAGCGCAGTACACTTAAGGTTTTGATAGCAAATTAACATTAAATAGCATTTAGTCCAACATTTTTCATTTAAAAACATAAAGGACCCTTCAATGGATGTGCTTTTAACAGCTCCCTCAATGAAACAGAAAAAATAACAGTGTTCTTTCATTGAAGTCAAATGAAAAATAATTGTTTCAACTTGACTATGTTACATTACAAAAATAAACATAAATAATAAAAAGGAAAACAAAACAATGCACTAAAACACAGGGCTCAAGGAGCATTTAGCCTAGTGGTTAAGCCACATTCCACATCAGAGTGCCTGGGTTTGATTCCTGGCTCCAGCTCTTGACTCCAACTTCCTGCCAGTTCAGACCCTGATTAGCTGTTGTGGTGGCTCAAGTAACTGGGTTCCTGCCACCCACGTGGGAGACCTGGATTGCCTTCTGCTTCCTGAACCCGGATGCTGCCCTGTCAGTTTTTGTTTTTCTCTCTCTGTCTCTCAAATAAATAATTTAATAAAATAATAACATAATAATTTCTGTTAGCTTCTGTTATTTGAGTGGGCTTTTGATTGAGGCAAGATTTAAAAGCCTTTTGAAGAATAAATCATACATAAAATAAAAACAAATAAAATAAAATATAGAGCATAAAGTTGGATTCAGAAAAAAAAAACACTGTATTACTGTTCTGATTCTGTTGTAAATCATAAAAGGCAACAATCAATGAACAAAAACACTGGATATGTGAGATTTTACTCAATGAGTGGCAAAAATCTAGATAATGCATTTGTACCACCATGAAATCTGTACTTGAATATTTTCATTACAGTGAATTGACTAGCAACTTTCAAATCACATTATGTCATTTTTTGTATTAGTTTATGAGTTTCCATTTTGTTTTAAAGGAACTGCTCATAAATACACTATCTGTATGTCACTGCTTTGAAAAATGAATAAGTTGGTATTCCATTTACGTATAATGTATTCTTCAAAATGTATTTCAGTCCTATCTCCATCAAAACCCTTCTCAAATAGAAGAAGCTAACAGAAACGCTAGCTTTGAACAGAAATCAGTATGTATCAGTTACTCACTTACTAAAACCATAATGTAGCAATCTTGCCTAGGAACAATACTCCATAAAAATTAATAAAGTGTTAAAAATGACTATTTTTGGAATGCCTGAACTTTGACATACATATCATGTTTCAGCAGTTTCAAGACTAAAAGGAATTACTGTTGTAACACATTTTGACACATCAGATGTCATTACAAAACAATTGGGAGCTTACACACGGAACACACAAACAGCCTCAGCCTGGGCCATTACTGAGAAGCAATGAGCCTCAGCTGGGAAAAGAGCAGGAGGAAGGCAGGGCCAATAAATCATTATCCCTGTTTACCCAACTCCCCAGTAGTATTCATATTCAGAGTATAATAATTAGCACCTCATGGGATTTCACACAAATGTTTTGACTAAAAAAGTCTCGGCCTGGGGTTCTTACATTCCAATACAAATGCAGTTTTATCTAGAGTTAACCTATTAAATGCTTCACGGGGATACTCCAGCCATAGGCATACTCTCTGATGCAAACATAACCTTGATTCTTGCACAAATCATGCACATGCTGATCAACCAGCAAAGGAATATTATGATTTTGAAAATAGCCTTTCCTTCATTCAGGCGCACCATAGATCAGGTTGTGCCAGTCAAAGGTGGTACATTACAGAGGCCATCTACTCACATGGCCTTGGTCATCCAGTTCATTGTTGGTGAGCTTCAGCTTGTCAAAGCTGATCACTTGTCTCATCCAAGTCTCCCCGGAGGCAGGCGAGTCTGGATGAATGTACACTCGGGGTGGCACAGGGGAGTCTGCGTTACCCGCCACCATCCATTTAGAGCTGTGGTAAACATACCTAGAAGGCAATGACGAGGGTCTCAGCATATGGACTACTCATTACTTGGAATTTCCAACTCAGTAAAATCAGACAAAATGTACGTCCTTGTTCAAAGGTCTAAAATAAATAAATTTCCTTTTTACATCCAGGAAGATTCCAAACATTTTTCAAAAATTTTCCAAGACTGCAGTGTCCTTCTCAGAGGAAGCGGTGTATTAAGGTTTTAGTGAAAAACACACATACTGTTGCAACAGAAATGCAAACATCTTACTTCTTTCAAATCCCCACATTCACAATAGACATTCCACCCACATTCTGATATTTTCCCACTTTCATCTGGATTTTCAACTGACATAAACAAACTGTTAAGTTGTCAAGCTCACCTTTAAGAAAATATAGAAATATTTTAGTTATATTTTAAAGTGTCCTACTTTAAGATCAATTCCCATTTTAAGTTATGTATGGGCTGATGGGATACAGTAAACTGACAACAGGAAATTGTCAAAGGTTCCAGTAACTTCTATTTTGATCTGGAAGAAGTCTTATCATAATTTAGAATCATTTTTCTAGTGCTATAACAATACATTGAGTAAAAAATTATCATAAAATGTATTTTCATAATTCATTTTTCATGAACATTTTGAAGGCTCCTTATATATGTACACATTTCAAAAAATTTTGCACCAAAATAAGCCTCATATTTTAATTCCATTTTCCACAAACTTTTGGAAGTATCACTGTATTAATGATTTTTGAAATCAAACTAATTTAAACACTAGAAATTAGTTATTGATGAAGAATAATTATAAATAAAATTATATACTTATATATTTTGCTTCCATTTTGTGTTAAAAGGTCACATTGAATTTAAAGCAATACTTTGCTGATGGTATCTGGAAATTCTACTTGTGTAATATATAAATTTCTTTTTAAACAGCATGAAACATTTTCAGTCTCTATGGTGAAACCCTTTGTTTCAACTATTGTCATATATTTCATTCTCTTTTGAGCTCAACATGGCTTCTATTCTCTAATTCATCTTTTGGGAAAAATGCATAATCACAAAATTAAGAATAATTTGTTAAAACCTTCCTCTAATTGGTATGGTGTAATTTCAGTAAATAAATTTCTAACTGTGGGCTTTTGTGGATATTAATTTTATATTCTAATAAGTGACAATCATTTTTAACTTGACCAAATACCACTCAGACATAAGAGAATAACCAAAAACAAATATTTTTCTAACAATGCTAAAAGAGGTGGAAAATAAAATGGAAATCTTAGAAATTTCAATAAGAAACTGCAATATCTATATTAATCATGTAACCATCAAAAGAGAGTAATATGCTCTATCAAAACCTTGAAAATTATACATATTGAATAGTTCAAAACCCCATACACACTACAAGTTACATAGCCTTTGTAAAACACTCTAAATATAAATGCTAAAGCCAAATTTGTTCCTGGAAAGCAATACAAGTGAAAGCAAATTTATGTCTTGCAATTTGATCCAGCATTTTAAATATTAATTTATAAAATGCCCTTGTTTTCTGAGACAGTAAGTAAAAAATCAGTTATGCAAAATAAACTGTATACAAATATATGGAAGAAATTTAGAGAAACATGAGACAAATTTAAAAACGAGTAATTTGCAATCTCATTAAGAATCACATTATCTTCTTCAGTACAAAACGCAAATTAGAATATGAGTTTTAACCCAAAGTATGTTTAAGGAATGAACTTCAATGCTTTCTAGTTGTGTATATATAATTTTAACAAAACTGTATAATGACATACTTAATTAAAAAAGTAATACAACATACTATAGACAAAACACAATAATGAAATTATTTTTTGTTACTCATTTTTATGGCATTTCATGTGGCCCTGTGCTAGTTAAAATTTCTGTACTTTTGACACCATAAACCTGTTTCATAAAAGCATAAGTTAAAAAATCAAAACGGATTTAAATTAAAAACCGATTAAATGAGAACATTCATATTTTTTAAGAAGAGACACAGATGAGCAAAATTTAAAATAGCACTTCTGATCTTCCAAAGACTCAAAACTTCCTTTTATAAATGTCAGCATTTTTAACTCTTAAGGGAAAATAAAAAGGATTGTCACTGAAAATTGCTGATTTGCTATATTATGTAAGAAAAAGAGCAAAGTTTCCTTTGCAATTGAAGAATGGATCTTTTTAAAGTTCACTTGATGGCAAGATAAGTACAATCTCTCTCAACACAAATATAAAGAGTTTTTTAAATGTATTGTGTTAACTCAGTCAAAAAACAACAAAAGGTAACAATTTACTACCAATGGGCATGTGTTTATCTCCTAATGAATTATGGGATTTTTCTTATGTATAGAAAACTTTAAATAATTTTTAAAGGGAAAGAGCCTACAAACATTCATGATTTTGAACATTACAAGACTGAGTAAATTTATAGGAAGACCAAAAATCGTGACGAAAATACATTTCTATACAATACTTCCTACCAAAATTCTAATTAAAATGAGTCAATATAAAAGATATATTTAGTTTAACAATACATAGATACATTTCTGTATCTATTAAAAGCAAAACAGAAATTAGTTTCCGTATTTGCTGCAAAAGATGGCACTAGCTCGGCTGCTGGAACCATGGCTATTGTTGAATTATAGAACTGGAAACTCTACAGGGCTCTGGAAACAAGGATCACAGCTGTCACACATCAAACAGCCATTAGCTGAAAAATCCTAGCATTTTCTTTATTATCCTGTATCTAATCACTGTACCTGTATCTTTTGTTGTCCACTGGCACAATATCCATGGCAATGTAATATTGCTGGTGAGGATCTAATCCAGAGATCTTCACTCTCATTGCTGGAAACATGCGCCTATTTATAAGGGAGGGGAGAGACAGGGTTGGGGTTCTGTTTTTGCTTGTGATTAAGGACTGAGAACGAATAAGCAAAGAAACATCTTGAATTTCTTTTTAATATGGACAAATTTATAGCATGCATTGTAATAATGGAATTCCAGGAGTCAGAACATAGGGAATGATCAAAACCAAGGTTTGTAAATGTCATTTGTAGCGCTCTGCGTTCATGTGTCCCATGTTTACTGAAGTGTCAGAATAGCTAAAACTAAAAGGACTGAGCACTGAAGGCGTAACGGCACTAAAGCAAGTACCTGATTTTTTAAACAAAATCTATAAGCATATTTACTTTAATAATATAAACAATAAAACGTACCAAACGGTAAAATAGAAAAATACGAATTTCTGAAAGTGATAAAATATATTATAATGTGAAATTTTAAAAGGGTTATAAAAAAAACCACAAGGAGCCAATGTGCCATGCTATAACCAAACAATATGTTCTTTATTGAGACAGGACTTCCTGTCTGCAGCATGGTAAAGGTGAAGTGCAAACGTTGCTCTAAATGTGAAAGGTATAGTAAAACTTCTTTATTGAAAGCAGAAACTAAACACAATTTATATTTACCAAATCATTCCTCCCCCCACCATACCTCAAAACTGCTTTTTTTAAAACCACACTTAACGCAAACTTTGCTAATTAAAACAAGTGAAAATCTGCATAGCTCTTGGCTTCCCAGAATGTGTATCAACGGAAATTCTAATGCATCTACTCTTTGAAAAGGACACAGCAGCAAGGACTACTATAGCAAACTATTGTATATAAAAACAAATGCAGCAGTTCTCTTTTTTTAACTTTCATCTAGTGATTTATGTGTAGGACCCTTCCAGGTAATCTAATTTTTGCTCATTTAACCTTACAACACAAATTTTAGTACTGTTATTTACCAAATTTTTCTCATAACAATAATGCCATTAAAGAGTACTCCCACAGAAAAGAAAGTCCATTATTCCTAACTAGGCATGAGAACAATTTACTACTACACTGGCTTTTTTAATGTTATTTCAGTGCACCTGTAAGATAAAGAGTAGAGGTCTTTAACTATATCCTTTATAAGACAACTGCTGCTTTGTATTGTTGAGGACTGAATTTGGATCATTAATAAAGGCTCTGTGAAAACGTAGAAGGGAGCATATGGATTCAATAAAATATGTTTTTGTAATTTCTAATAAGTTTGGATACTTTTATGCTATCCAGGTTTTTACCATGTGTACTCCCTGAAAGAGCTGGGTGTCCTTTTTAAGTTCCTTTAAAGGAAGCATATCATTCATAGATTTCATTGCACTAATTGAAAATTTTAAAATGTAAATATATCTGTCTACCTCAAATGAATCTGGCCAACAAATCCATTTATTTTAGTAACGATTGATGTGCAAATTTCACACTCTGAAACCGATATAACTTCTTACCATTAAAAAAAAAAACACCCGTTTCTTTAAAAAAAAAATCCTTCAGCAAATGCAGGCTAATGTGTTGATTTCATTTAGGGAAAAAAAATTACCTAACCTACATAACTGTACATCTACAAACAGGTCGGCTTCCAAAAGTCAGGGCAATTATTCCTGCAGTTCTTATGATTAAACACGCACGATGGATAATTCCAGCGACTTTTCATCCTAGCCTAATACCCAAACAGCACAGTACACCATGTTCTCATGGTGCCAGTAAATCTTTCGATGAAGAACCAACCTGAAAGCTTCCAGTCTGAAAAACCAAATCACAGTATGCTGAAGAGCAAGCTGGATTTTAAATATCTAAAAGGAGGGGACGCTGGAAAGACTTCCCTTGTTTCAGAACTGATAACCGGCGCCTAAGGAGAGGCCTGCACAGATGTGAACGTGACCTGGAATCCACAGCCGCCCGCACGCGGCACAACCACCGCGAGGGCTGCAGCATCCGCGGCGACACCGACTTTCGCCCGGGCACTCAGCAGCGTGCGGCTGGCCTATGCTCCTCGCTGATGGCTCTCCAAAGTAGTAGGTAAAGCCATCCCCAACCGTGAATCAAGGCCCAGGGCCTTGTCCGCTCCGTCCGAGCCCGCTGACCAGAGTCCCCTCCCGCCGCAGAGCTGCAAGCCCTTCTCCTTCCTAACCCAGCGAGGGACGAGTGAGGCCGGGGCCGGGGACCGGGGTGGGGACCGCGCCAGCTCGCCCGTTTACCTGCCCGCCTTGGTGATGATCATCTCCGTGCCAATCTCGTGAAAGCGCTTCCAGAGCTCAGCTCCCTGCAGATCCACCCGCGGGGTCTGCGGTGAAGGCAGCGGGGTCCCGGGCCGGGCTAGGGCGGGCGCGGGGGACCCCTTTGGGGAGCCTCCGGGGGACGCCAGAGGCGAAGCGCCCCGTAGGAAGCCGTCCTCACAGTTGCCTGGACAGCAAAGGGCAGAGAAGGGGAACCGTGAGGGCTCCAGAGGGGAAGCGCGCCGGGGACTGGGGAGAGAGGGGAAGCTCTGGTGTCATCGAATCCTCCTGAGGAACAGGCCCATCGACGAACGCACGTTCTCGGCCTGCCCGTGGGCCGCTCGGCGCTCCAGGGAGGCCTGCCGGGCTCCCAAGTTCCGAGCCCCGGAGAGGAGCGTGAGCCGCGTCCACCCCACCCGCCAGGCCTACTCGGAGCCAAGGAAGGGCCCAGAAGTTTCGCGCCCCGCCGCTGCCGCCGGAGTCTGTGAGGCGTGTCTGGCAGAGTCTAAGACGAGTTCCTAAAAGCAGAGTCCCGCACAACCCGCAAACGAAGCGCACGCAGCCTAGCGCCTGGCCCCTGGGCCTTCCCTTCTCCAGAAGCGTCGGAGGCGTCTCGCGGCGGACCCGGCCCGAGGCATCTTCTAGAAAGCTCTGAAACTCTCCGACTGCCCAGCGCCTCTAGTTAAGCAGTGAGGAGGCCTGCGGATGCCGTCGGCCTTCCCCAGGGAAGACTCCGCTGACCCCCGGGAAATCGCATTTACAAACAGGCCGCCTCCTTCCTGGTTTGCACAAATGGTTTAGGGCATTCGTTCCGGTTACGGGCTGTGTGTGTGTGTGGGGGGGGTAGGCTTGGGGAGTTAGGCCACCGCTCCCCCAACCTATTCCCCCCCACCCCGACCTCAGGCTTCAAAAAGTTAGGGAAGGGGGAAAAAACCAGAGCACCCATTGGCTGGAACCCCAAGGGAGGCAGACGCAGAAAGCGCACAGCCGCGCCGCCGGCGCCGCAAGCAACCGCGGCTAAGGGCGCAGGTTGGCGAGTGGGCGGCGGCAGCCAGCCTCGGAACCGTCTGGCGGGCAACCAGGTTGCGCGGCGAGCCCGGCGCCCCACACCCACGGCCGGCGCGCTGGTGGCGAAGTTGCCTCGGCCACGTAGGACGCGGCGCGCACGCACCCCAAAGACTCCGCAAGTTCGGGCTCGCGCCGGCTGTGGGGCCGACGAGAACCCGGGAGCGTTCGTGCTATGCAAAAGTTCATGCTGGAAGGGGCCCACTCACCCACGGCGCCGCGGGAGCCGCAGCTCCCCTCCAAGTCTGAGCAGCTCCGGCCCGGCGCGGACGCCGCCCCAGCTGGCGGCGGGAGCGCTGCGCCTTCCTCTCGCTCCGAGGAGCCCTTTTCACCCGCGCCGCCGCCACTGCCTCCGCGGCTACAGCCTCCGTCGTCTGCCGGCCCGGCCGCGTCCTCTGCGCCCAGCTTTAGCCGCTTCTTCTGAAGCTGTTGCTGCTTCTCGGCGCCGATGAGCGCCTCCACTGAGAAGGCGTGCGCCTTGAGACTCAGCATGCTGCAGGGCGAACCCCTCCGCTTCTCGGCCATCCCCGCCGCCCGGCGCCCGCCCGCCCCTCTCTCATATACACTCGCGCGGGCACACTCGCGCACTCGCTCTCCTCCCCACCAAAACCGAGCTCTGCCCCCTTCCCCGCCGCGGGCAAGGACAGCTTTGGCGTTTTCTTCCTCGCGCTGGTGTCGGGATCCGAGAAGCCAGTGACGCGCCCGCCAAGTTTCCTTCCCCGGGTCTCTCTCGCGCGCGCTCTCACTGATGCACTCCTTCGCTCCCACCCCCTCCACCTCCTCCTCCTGCTCCAAGATCTGCCTCGACTGATGCGCCTGAGAGGACTAGCATGGGTAAAAAACACTCTGCGGACACAAATTAGGGATTGTAATTGAAATTTGTTGCCTTGATCTGTCAGCACTTCCAGGCAGGAGAGCGGTGGGAAGAACTTGCTCATTAGTGTCAATAAAGCGGCGGGGGCGGGGCCCAGGGACCTGTCAATCAGGGAGACGGCCGGCCAATCAGCAGGCGCCAATTCCGCGCGGCCCGCGCCCACTTCCTTACAAGGTCGCAAAAAACTCTGGAGTGAAAAGCGCCGCCGTCTGGCGTGGCCGTGCCAGCCCCTAGCACGCTGAACCCCTGTGGGTCTCCCTGCCGCCCACCGCCCAGTCCAGCCCGGAGTCTCCAGCTTTCCTCGCCGGGACACGGAGAGGCTGAGGCTTCTGGGCTTAAGTAGAGAAGATCACCAAGTTAGAATGTCAAGGATCTTTCAACTTAAACTCCAGTACCACGACCGCATCTTGATGTTGCCGCAGCTCAAAACATGTTGGGAGGTGGCGGAACTCACTGCCGCCAAGCCCATCGATCTCATTTAAGCATTCCTACGGTTTAGTGGCGCCCACCGTGCGGATGGCTCAGCACCGGACTTATATTCAGTTCTGTGGGTTTTTCTTGCGAAAAGTTCAAAAAATATTTAAATCCATTATGTTTAGGGGACCCAAAAAGTGTTATATTATCGCTCAGGCCTTCGCATAAAGTAGCCAAGAAAAGTATTTTCTTTCCAGAGACCCTCTTCTTTCAAAGAGTGGTAGCTATTTTAAAACGTAAAGATCTTAGTTGTTACATAGCTAGAGATACCGATCTAACCTGAAAACTCTAAAATGTGGCAAAGTTAGTTTGAAGATGCCATAAAAACTCCACCCGCTGCAATTTTTGACATTTTCTGTGACTTGGTGTAATTTCATATTTCTCCCGATTTCACACTTTACCACTCTACCACTGGTAGCTCAGCTTTGATTTAAGGAGCCAGCTTGTTTTTTTTTTTAAGGAGACATTCAAAAGAAACCGCACTTTTGGATTGAATGACAGCAAACATGCTTATGCACAGTTTGTTTTGTAGTTTCAACTCGACTTTTTGTTAGGATTAATAATAAATGGCATTTGATGTCGCAGACTATATTACAGGATGAAACTGATCATGCGTGTTCTCTTACTCTTTGGTATAAAATATCAGACGGCCGCTTTGTCTCTCCGTGGATCCCCTTAACCTTGGCCTGCCCTGTTATCTTCTCCGTACGCCTCAGGCAGAACAGCTCCTAGGAGTAGCTTCGCTACTGGCCCAGTCCTGCTACCTCACCTCCTGCGGACGAGTGATTCCCGGTCTAGGCCCACCGTGAGGGAGCAGCGGGCACCTAGCTGGAGGTGCCCAGAGAAGCTTACACGCCGCCCAGGGGGGCTGGCAGCCTTGGAACCAAGAACCACCCTGCTATCCTTGCGGCCGTGGTCTCCTTTAAATGCTGCAGAAAACATATTCGCTTGGGAGAGTGGCTTTGCATTTGTCAAGGAAAGGCTTTGCCACCGACGTGGAACTGTCGGGGGGAGCGAAGAAGCTTCGCGATGTCTCAGGCCCATGTTAATAACGTAAAAAATGAGCGTGAATCTTTGTTTCTCAAACTCGGCGGAGGGCAGGCGCGGCGCAGGAACAGTGCAGAGGCGGCTTGGAGGGCTTGGGCCGAGAAGGGAGGTGGGATGAGGAGAGGGGCAGACGTGGCAGGCTGCTACGCCAGGAGCTCCGCAAGGGCTTGAGCGCGGGAAGCCGCAACAGCAGCCTGAGAGGCTCCGGCGCCCCGCCCCAGGCCCGGGATTTCGGGGACCCGGAGGAGGAGCGACCCTCTGGCCCTCGGAACTGCCCTTGCAGCCTTGGAAAGGTGGAGTCGCTGCAGCCTTGGGGCCCGCTCAAGCTCCGCGACTGGAGCAGGGGAAGCGGCTGTTGTGAGAAACCGCCAGAGACAGACGCGGGCTGCAGATGCGAAGCCTTCTTTGTAGATGAGTGCTTGACCGTCTACGTGCCCAGCAGCTCAAATTGATTTAGGAAAGACTCCACAGGCCTGCAGTGCGCCCTCGGGATCACACAACCCCAGTCCTCCTCTTTTCCTCCGCCGCGTCTTTTGCTTTTACCCCTGGCAGCTGGAGGTGCCGACCCCAGGATGTGCGGACACCCGGGACTTGTGTCTCTACAACAGCCAAGGAGGAAAGTCGGGCTTCACCGACCGGCACCGCCTCAAGACAGACTGTGGCCCTTAGAAATAACCGGAATGTGCGTGGGACGCCACGGCAGGACGAGGGCGTCGCCCCCTTGGTCCTGGGCTAGGCTGGGCTTTGGGAACCACACCGCACCGCCGCTAGTTGCCTTCGATTTACTTCGAATGGGGCTTAGGCTTCCAGACCGAATTGGACCCGCTGTCTCCCAACTCGGTGGCGCAGTGGGTCGCAGACCGCGCCGCACCCGTAGAGAGCGTCGAGCCTCTTCTGGGCACTGAAGAAAAGAAAGCCTGGAGTTGACCGACCGGCGACGTCTGGGCCTTCGCAGAGTTGGCGAAGCCATAGCGCTGGCAAGGCCTCCTCTCGAGAAAGCGGGACACACACACGTGTCGGGGCAGAGGCAGGCCCTGGGGCTTTCCAAGTTAAAAGAGCAAAGGAGGCCGGGCTCATATTCTTGGGAGGGCAGCTCAGCGACGTGCGATCGAGCGTGCTCACGTGTCTGGGTGTGCACCGTGCGCGTGAGTGTGCACGTGTTCGTGTGTGCATGTGTGCCTGCGCGAGCGCACCTGCTCACTGGGACACGCTGGGGGTGTGTGTGCTGTGGTTCTGAGTAACGGGGAATGTGTGCCTTCTGCCATTTGCGGATGGAAAACGTCTTTTCTCAGTAGGAGCAGGGCTAAGGAATCACTTAATACTGTAATAAGCTGTCCGCCCTCTGGCAAGACCAGCCGTATTGCACTTGAAACCATCACTCAGAGAACATTGTCGGAATAAGCTACTTTCAGTAGCTTATTTTCCTCTTGGAAAAGAGGAAAGAGCAAAAAGATCCTAGAGCATTCAGATGTAAGACAAGGTATAATCCGCGTCCACCCCAGCCCCAAAGAGCAGCACTACCTTGGGCAAAGGGGCTGCACTTTTAAAAAAGCAGAGCCAGCCTCTTCGTTTTGCTTGGTGCTTTTGAAATTTGAATAATCTGAGAGATTCCTTTACAAAAACACATTCTCTGTCAGCTCTTGTTGTGCCTATTTACAAGCGTTGAAATATGTATTTATACATAAACACATACATATTTATATACATATAACATATATCTGTATATAATATGTATATATTTTATATTATACATATTTTGCTATTTCATCTTACCCGCCTTATGAGATACTTTTATTTACGAACAGTAGTTTAAGTTCTAAATTGCAAAAGTCTTAGGCATCAGGATTTCATTCTCTATAGACTGATTTTTTTTTTCTTTTACATTTGACCATCGCCTAAGTGTTAAACCCTTGCGTTTGACTTCTCAGACTGAAGACATGGCACAGAGAGAGGAGCTCTGGCACGCACTAGTCTGTTATGGACTCCGGGGGCATCAAGTGGTCGCCTGGTTTCCAAACAGAATTCAGACTTCCTCCCCATGCTTAACAAGACTTCCACCATTAGTTAAAAGAAACCAAACGCAGAAACAGGAGGGGGAGTGGCGGTGAACAAGAGAGGAACCCCAGCACGGATAGGAGCACGTATTTGGCTGCATTACTTTGTAATTTTATCTGGGAAGGAGCCACATCCTGGTTGGGGACTGTGGACTTCCGACACCATTCGGAGTCGCAGGCAGCGCCCCACGCGGGGAGTTGGGGCTTCTTCCCTCAGCCCTTCCTGCCCTACCTCTCCCACTCTCTTCCTTCTTTGCACCTACTCTTCCTTTCGCCTCTTCCTCTGGCCTGGGTTAATGAGAATAAGTTATAACCTGTGTGCATTTACAGGGGCTGCGGGAGTAAATCCAGGCGGCCGGGCTCGACAGCTGCGCTCCCGCGGACTTCCTCGCTGCCTGGGGTCCGGCTGCAGCTGCAGACCCAGGCCCCGAGGAGCAGCAGTTCCTGCCTGCTGGCTGCCGTCGCTGAGGCGCACGCAGGCATCACCTCCTTTCTAGCTGGAGAGTGCTTCCCATTCTTCTCTCCCGACAACTCGCCTCTTCTTGGTTCTGGTTAACCAAAAGCAAGGCCCGCTACGAAAATAACCCCCGCAGCATGCGCGAGAACGTTGCCGAGCTCCTCAGCGCCCAGAGGTCGCTCGGGGCCGCAGTTTCTTCTCCAGTGTTGATTGTGCCCTCAGGGCTCCTTTCCCGCTGGGGTTCAGGGGAGCGTGTATTCCGAGGGTAGGCTAGTCTTCATTCCTCCCTCCTCCCAGCCCACGGGGCCTGTAGCTTGGAGAAGGGAACGGAAAGAGCACAGGGGCCTCTGACCCAGCAAGCCCAGGGGCGGTGAGAGAGTCATGAACCTGTGAGGTGCCCAGAAGAAAAGTCATACGCTTGGGCAAATGAGCTCCCCGGTTCCGATTCCGCTTCCATCCATTTCCCAGGCTATCTGCCTTGCCTCCAGACCTAGGGCCGTTTTTTGTTTGTTTGTGTTTTTTTCTCATCTCCCGCTGAAAAACCGCCGCCCTCACGTCTTCATTGAAAGCCCTCCGGTGTCACACTTGTCTCTGCCACTAATATCTCATTTAAATTTAAGATGACTCAAAGGAGGTAACAAGTAAAGGCTTGACTGTAAATGAATGCCCAAAGCTGGAATTGAACATTTCTGATACCATTATCACAATAAGTCAATTTGAACATAAACAAGTATCAGAAAAATTAAATAATATTTCATTGTTAATGAACATTGTAATAATTTGTGCTATTTGAGATCATTTTAAATTTATATATAAAATACTCAACTTCATATTTTTATTAAGCATTTAATGCCTTTTCCCTATAAACAATGGTTACCATGACTCTTCAAGGTTAATAAAAATGAATTGAAAATGGAGCTTAACATTCCCGTAAGCCCTTTCAAGAATCACTATGTTTGACATTTAGCATTTAGCAAAAATTATTCCCTCTAATTTGCTGTAAACGGACCCTGTTCTCTACATCT